GATCGTAAATAAAACCAAATCAAACCATTTACAAATCCCAATCTGCTATTCTTGATATAAGATTGTTAACAAAGCGTGACTGTACTCACAGCTAGTCACTTGTTATTCGACTTCTAAATATGTTGTTTTATTTGGTATGATTTCTCTCCTCTTTGTAGTTGACTGTACTGGTGTCAACCCATGCCTGAACAGAGGTACCTGTGAGAACAATGCATGTACATGTGCTTCGCGATTTACTGGATTGTTGTGTGACGAAGGTATGTCAATATATCAGTATCACTGTCGGATCCAAGTGGGCACGAATCGGCACCCCAACCCTTCTTCGCGGCCTAAAAAGGGGTCGGAGCCAGAGAGAATGACAAAAGAAAAGAAGAGAAAATAAAGAGGAAATAATATTATAAGGCCATAGAGAAAATAAGAGGAAAAGCACCGCAGAGCGATAGAAAGACAAAAAAGAAAAAAAATGATTGAAACAATCGCCACTCTAAGATACGGGTCGGCAAACGTATTGGAAGCCACTGCAAGCTTTGCGTAACAGTATAATAACTAGACATTAAATTCGTCACGGAGACGTATCGGGTGATCTGCTTCTTTGATCGAGTCACAATACATGTAGAAACTCGGTGGGAAATTTTGCCTTTAAATACAAATCCACCCTCTACTCAAATAACACACCTAGCCCTATGTACAAGCTCATTTGGTAATCAAGGATGTAGAAAGAGTAGAAATGATTTCGCTGACTGTTGTTTGGTACAATATTGTTACCATTAAATTAATGGCAGAAATAGGCGAACAAACAACAAAATAACGTGTCGTTAATAAAGTTTAAGTCCTGTCCTGTACTAAATATGTATTATAGGAATAGGTTGGATCGTACAAGAGCAGCAAGAAAAGCGATGTTCAAGGTCGGGAATCGTGAGGAGACAATGTGCAGATGAGTTTTTAAAAGAAAGAACATGAACCGATGAGGAATAGTAAGAACCAAGAGGTATTCACTGAATCTGACCATTAAAAACACAAAGGCTAGACTGCATGTTTAGATTTATGACCCAGCCAAGTATCATGTTTTGACGGCAGTTTGGGTGAGTTGGTGAAAAGAATAACGAGTAGAATGAGTGTTAAACGACCGACTACATTCACGTAAGATATGGGTACCTGATTCTTACAAATTTACAATTATTTTTCCATTTCCTGGGTTTTGGTTTTGGTTTTGGTTTAGCGTTTGGTAAACTGTTTGGGCCATAGTTGAAGTAATCTGAACGACGTAATTTTGAACATTATCTGAACAAGTTTTAAGTTATTTGAGTTATCAACGATCAACATTTTTTTCTTTCAACGTTCATGAAATGATCCGTCAGATCGCTTTGACTTTCAACTAACTTTTGATTCATTTTAACTCGAGAGGTTTCTGACCAATGTATTTACTATACGAAACAGAAAACTTACAAATTAAAAGACTAATATTTGCGAGTCTTAAATTTATCTAATTTCATGACCAACGTCAGGAACTTGTTACCTTTGTTATACTAGGGAAGTTTGACATAAGAAATCAAACAACATTAAACGACAGTGATGCAAAATACAAAAGAGAGCAACCGGAGGTATATGCCGAAATATTAAAAACGTAAAGAAGAGTAATCATGGTAATAGCAGTGTAGAATAAACCACACTTAAAAAGAGAACGTTCAATTGAAGTATCAACAATCAAAGCAAAAGTATGTGCAATTAGGGATAGGGTGCATTCTGAATGTAAAGGAGATAACAATGAAGGGTGTAATAGAAACGGGTGTAACCGATCCCGACTCATATATGGACCCCGAGGAAGAACATATCGTATGATCGGAAGTGGTTGATCTCTCGATCCTCATTTTAATTTTTGTTTTCTGGAATAGTCTTGGTATGATATTTGAGTGTTTTGTTCTGATATGTTTTAAGATGTTTGTATTTCGTGTTTAATGATCGTAAATAAAACCAATTCAAACCATATACCAATCCCATTCCTATCACTTCTGCTTTCGCTTAAAAACGGGGTAAAGCAGAACATGGATACTTCTCTGTAGTTTGATAATGTCACAAAACAAATCCCAATCTGCTATTCTTGATATATGATTGTTAACAAAGTGTGACTGTACTCACAGCTAGTCACTTGTTATTCATCTTCTAAATATGCATGTTTTGTTTGGTATGCTTTCTCTCCTCTTTGTAGTTAACTGTACTGGTGACGACCCATGCATGAACGGAGGTACATGTGAGAACAGGACATGTACATGTGCTCCGGAATTTACTGGACCTTTGTGTGCCGAAGGTAAGAAAATATATCATTTTTACTGTCAGATCCGCCTTTTTGGGCGGCCTTAAAAAGAGTTGAGGCCAGAGAGTGACGGAAGAAAAAAAAAAAGTAAACAAAATATTTAAGGCCACAGAGAAGAAAACAGGAAAAGCACAGAGTGACAGAAAGAGACAAAAAAAAAATGATTAAAAAAAAGAAATCGGTACCCGGCACCGCGTTAGAAGACACTGTAAGCTATGTGTAATGTAAAAATTGGGGTGGGGTGGGCCTGTCAAGAATACCCCCACGTATCCTCTGCGTGTCGTAAAAGGCGACTAAAAGGGGACCATTCAGCATCAGGCCGCCTTTAAATAAGCCTAGCTTGCTCTGCATTGGGCAGCAGCGATGCAGTAGGAGTGTTTCAGCGGAAGATCCTTTTAGGACAACCCTCTATTCATATAACACACCTAGGCCTATGCACAAGCTTATTTGGTAATCAAGGATGTAGAAAGAGTAGAAATGATTTTGCTGACTGTTGTTTGGTAAAACATTGTTACCATTAAATTAATGACAGGTGTAGGCGAACAAACAACAAAATAACGTGTCGTTAATAAAGTTTTAGTACTGTCCTATACTAAATATGTATTTTAGGAATAGGTCGGATCTTACAGAGCAGCAAGAAAGGAAATGAACCGATTGGGAATAGTAAGAACCAAGAGGCATTCATCGAATCTGACCATTAAAAACACAAAGGCTAGACTGCATGTTTAGATTTACGACCCAGTCAAGTATCATGTTTTGACGGCAGTTTGGGTGGGTTGGTGAAAAGAATAGTGAGTAGAGTGAGTGTTAATCGGCCGACTACCTAATAACACAGAGTCAATGAGAAATCAGAACATGTATGTGTCAGTTCTGATGACAACTGGCCAATCAGTGCGCAGTCACAATGAGCCTTGCCCAAGAATTGTTGTTCTTCACAATATGACATTCAAGTAAGATATGGGTACCTGATTCTTACAAATTTACAATTATTTTTCCATTTCCTGGGTTTTGGTTTTGGTTTGGGCTTAGCGTTTGGTAAACTGTTTGGGCCATAGTTGAAGTAATCTGAACGACGTAATTTTGAACATTATCTGAACAAGTTCAACATTTTTTCTTTCAACGTTCATGAAATGATCCATTAGATCGCTTTGACGTTCACTTAACTTTTGATTCATTTTAACTCGAGAGGTTTCTGACCAATGTATTTACGAAACAGAAAAATTAAAAATTAAAAGACTATTAAATGTTTGAGAGTCTTAATTCACCTAATTTCATGACCAACGTCAGGAACGTGTTACCATTGTTATACTCGGGAAGTTTGACATAAGAAATCAAACAACATTAAACGACAGTGATGCAAAATAAAAAAAGAGAGCAACCGGAGGTACATTACGAAATATTGAAAAGTAAAGAAGAGTAATCATGGTGATAGCAGTGTAGAATAAACCACACTTAAAAAGAGAACGTTCAATTGAAATATCAACAATCAAAGCAAAAGTATGTGCATTTAGGGATGGGGTGCATTCTGAATGTAAAGGAGATAACAATGAATGGTGTAATAGAAACGGGTGTAACCGATCCCGACTCATATATGGACCCCGAAGAAGAACATATCGTATGATCGGAAGTGGTTTATCTCTCGATCCTCATTTTAATTTTTGTTTTCTGGAATAGTCTTAGATGATATTTGAGTGTTTTGTTCTGATATGTTATAAGATGTTTGTATTTCGTATTTAACGATCATAAATAAACCTAAATCAAACCATATACCAATCCCATTCCCATCACCCCTGTCTCCGCGTAAAAACGGGGGAAAGCAGAGCATGGATCCTTCTCTGTAGTTTGATAATGTCACAAAACGAATCCCAATCTGCTTTTCTTGATATAAGATTGTTAACAAAGCGTGACTGTACTCACAGCTAGTCACGTGTTATTAACCTTCTTAATATATTTGTTTTGTTTGGTATGCTTTCTCTCCTCTTTGTAGTTAACTGTACTGGTGACGACCCATGCATGAACGGAGGTACCTGCGAGAACAGGACATGTACATGTGCTACGGGATTTACTGGACCTTTGTGTGCCGAAGGTATGAAATATATCATCACTGTCAGATCCGCCTTTTGGGGGGGGGGGGGGGGGGCGGGTTTAAAAGGGGGTTGAGGCCAGAGAGTGACGGAAGAAAAGAAGAAAAAAAAGAGAACAAAATATTTGAGGCCACAGAGAAGAAAACAGGAAAAGCACAGAGTGATAGAAAGAGACCAAAAAAAAAATGATAAAAAAAAGAAAAATCGGTACCTGGCACCGCGTTAGAAGACACTGTAAGCTATGTGTAATGTAATAATTGGGGTGGGGTGGGCCTGTCAAGAATACCCCCACTTATCCTCTGCGTGTCGTAAAAGGCGACTAAAAGGGGACCATTCAGCATCAGGGGGCTGGTGGTGGTACTGGGTGGCACCAGTAGGACCAATAAAAACTTGCATCCCCTAAGACGTTGAATTGGGAAGGCGAGTTTAGGCCGCCTTTAAATAATGCTCTCCGATCGGGGTTAATTACAAGGAATTAGATCTTCGCCTTTTAATGAATTTGAGAAAATTAAGGACGGGTTCATGACTATTTATAGCAAGACTGTTTGAATATTTTTAAAGGCACTCATGGTTTGTCTGATTCTTTTCATTATTAACTCAGTAATAATGTGCACCGTACCTGAATTTGACGAATTGGTATCTTCTCCGACGTGTTCAACCGATGAATATGTGATCTACAATCAACAATGCAGCTTCTCTTGTCCGACTGGTTATAGCCGAGCGGGTCCGTCGTTTGTTATCTGCACGGGCTCAGGAAGTTTCTCGCAAATGTTTCCTCGTTGTGTGAGTAAGTGTAATTTCGGAGCACTGTGGTATATTCGTGAAAGTTCGATCCTTGCTCGGTGCTTACATCCTTGGACAAGCTGTTTAGCCTCCATTTCGACCTCACTGCTCAGGTGAAAATGAATACCTGTCATTGTTGGGTAATTAAAAATTAATACTGATATGGCTACCCTAAGTAATTAAGAAACAATCAATATTTCTTTCCTTATTATTTTCGAAAAACAGTCAGGATGACAAATATGGTCCGACCATGCAATGCGGTGTGTGTATTGGGATTTTACAGACGTGTATCAATTAGATATGATTATGTAAGTCTGGGGGACCGACCTTTTAAACGTCACCATCCGAAAGACGTGACTTAGTTTCGAACCTGCGTCCTCGGCTGAATCAGTTTGTAACTTCCATTGTTAGCTGGATTACATTTTAACGTGAAATTACTGACCAGTGTATTTACAATACGAAACAGAAATCTTAATAAGAGTCATGTTCGCGAGTTCTCAAATTTTCTATCACCTCATTTCATCTTTTCATGACCATCGTCAGTAACTGAAGTATATAAATAAACGTAATAATTTGTATAATATGAAGGTTAGACATATATACGAACTCAAACAACGTAAGGATATTAATGCATACTACAAAATAGAGCCAAGATATTGAAAAGTAAAGAAGGATAGTGATGGTGATACGAGTGTAGAATAAACCACAATAAAACATGGACACTGACCAGTGTATAACATATTTTATATATTATTTTGCAGAGTGTGATCCCAACGGCAGCGTTTGTCCAGAAACAGGTATGTTCCTCTCTAACATAAGTTAAACCGCGGATAGTCATTGTCCGACATGTTCATGTTCGCGATTTACCCATGATTTAACTTTTAATATGGCCCATAAATAATCTCTCTGTGTCTCTTAAAGGTACTATGTCCCATTTGCAGGCCAAAAAATGAAAAAGCTAAATTCCAACTGCATTTGAAAGATAATACTAATTTAGAACTTTAGAATATTTGTCATGGGATATTTATACTTCAGGCTTCAATTTTATTTAGCCGTTGACCTAGAAAACTATGATATTTATGTCTATCTGTCCATATGTCCCATAGCTTGAGTTTAAGCTGTTGGGGCGACAATGAAATTAAATGGACCTTGAGACACAATGTTCTCTTTAACTTTCTGTCTTCAGCCGCTCTTGATAGCTGCTCAAATGACATTCCCGGCCTGTCCATAAAGGTGTTTAAAAAAGTAGAACGGAGCTAACCAAAGATTGTTAATTCCGCAAAGCCATTGTGTTGCATAAAGCGATCCCTCCGTCAGTTGGTACATAGCCTCTTGTCGATGCCCTCGCGCTGTTGGAGTCTCTAAATTCTGACGAGCGAAGCGAGTCAGAGAAACCGAAGCGCTCGCGCTGAGGGCCTCTTGACAAGTGATCTGAATTATATATTCATGAGACCCGATTTCCTACTGAATTATGCATGTCTAGACCGCAGCGATTGTGTGTGTGTACGTGTGTGTTCGGGATTGCCCAACTAGGCTAGTCTGCAAGCACAGACCCTAATTTGACACTTTATCAAAAAATCATTGTGCCTTGAGAGAATCCTAGCCCAGCTATCTACTGGTACCTACTGGTTGTACCAATATAGGTCAGGAACAGCTATAGTACGTGGCATATGGTAGTCTTATAGTGCACACTCTCTGTTACGACTGACCAGGGTTTGTGCTTGCAGACTACAACTAGGCGGCCAGTCTCGCTCTCACGGAGGGAATTCGCACAGAGCGGTAGATATTACGTCATAGTAGCTCTCTCTGATTGGATGACTTTCACCGAACTCTGCTGGGTCGGAATATTCGCCAAACAAAGTAAAACATAAGAAATCCAGATCACTTGTCAAGAGGCCCTCAGCGCGAGCGCCTCGGTTTCTCTGACTCGCTTCGCTCGTCAGAATTTAGAGACTCCAACAGCGCGAGGGCATCGACAAGAGGCTAGTTGGTACATAGACTTGTACCGGTTTGCACGTAATGGCGAACGAGCGATCGTGGCGATAAGCGCTGATGACAAATACCAGACTCGAGTGGGTTCGCCTTGCACGCTAAGGGACGGCTTTTTTCGGTATATTTTATAGTTATTATTTCTGCACAGGTTTGGGAGTCAGGTGGGAAGGAGAGAACCCTATAACTTTTTCTTTTTTCTCTCTGTTTATTCTGAAAAAAATCCACTTTAACCGTTTATCGGTAGGCTTATAATATAACATTGTGTGGTTGTACGAAACTTGCTCCTGCGACAATTAACATAATTCGTTTGAGGTCCTTGCTTTAATTTTGTACACGTGTTCTAGATTAAATTAATTTATAATCTTTATATCTTTGTATACTCGAATATATATATTTTTTCTGTCGTGGGCGTCTTTCGCTGGTCATTGACAGAAATGTGTTGACTTTATAAAGTTGTTTTCGGTAGTATCCTCCAGACCTCTACTGTTATTCATTTTCGAATTATTTACTTAATCCATAGCTCAGGGCATGAATATGAAATCATGCTCTCCGATCGGGGTTTATTACAAGGAATGAGGTCTTCGCCTTTCAATGAATTTGAGAAATTTAAGGTCGGGTTTATGAATATTAGTAGCAAGACTGTTTGAATATTTCGAAAGGCACTCATGGTTTGTCTGATTCTTTTCATTATTAACTCAGTAATAACGTGCACCGTACCTATATTTGACGAATTGGTATCTTCTCCGACGTGTTCAACCGATGAATATGTGATCTTCAATCAACAATGCAGCTTCTCTTGTCCGACTGGTTATAGCCTAGACAGTCCGTCATCTGTTACCTGCACGGCCTCAGGAAGTTTCTCGCAAATGTTTCCTCGTTGTGTGGGTAAGTGTAATATAGGAGCACTGTGGTATATTCGTGAAAGTTCTTGACTCTTCTATGAAAGGTTCTGAGTTCGATCCGTGCTCGGTGCTTACATCCTTGGACAAGCCGTTTGGCCTCCATTAAGACCTTGGGTGAATAAGACACAATGAATTTTTCTTATAATTGTCGAAAAAAGTCAGGGTCATAAAATTGGGCCGATCAAGGCAATGAAAATATATCCAACTATTAAAGGCTTAATTTTTGTAAAATAAAATGCTCTTTTTTGTTCTTAAAGATACACTTGAGTTCTGGTAAAAAAAAATGAATTCTCACAGAATCAAACGGAACTTACACTGAATGTGTAAGATTACAAATTAATGTCATTTGCCAAACAATTTTGGTAAAAAATGTATACTGGCTGAGTAATGAGCATAGAAAGATAAAGAAATCAAAATGAGTAACCCCGACACGATTTGTGTAGTTCTGCATACATCTTCCTGTATGCAGTGCTTGTTACTTTACCAAGACTGGGCCAGATTTATTATGATTTTGATGGCTCCAGAACCTTGCAGAACTCACCTTTATCTTTAAATTCAGTTCGGGGGAGAACGATGGTACGTGCATCCTCTAAAATGTTAAATGCGTTTTGCAGGATTTTTTCTCGTGTAGCCTGATTTTTTTTCTTGATAATATTAAATATTCTTATCTGATGGTGACATCTTGGAAATTCCATAATCTATAATAAACTGTCCATTCTGTTGGAGAAGTTTTTTCTGGATTTTCCGAGCACTGAGGCACTGACAAGTGATATTATTAGTGTGTTTATACTGTGCGCCAGTACAGTGCAGTATACAGTACACGTACACATTGTATGTATGCAGTCTAGTCACGACGTCACGATCACATCACTAGCACGATAATTTATTCATCCGGTGTGCGCACGCATGCGCATTGGGTCTATCGTCTGAGGAAATGTCAGAATTAACGCCTAATGGGCATGCGCAGTAGTCGTGACTAAAGTTAAAAACGACTTCGTAGCTAAACACGACTTAGACAGGACTTAAACAGCTGTTTAATTAGACGCGACTTAAGACACGACTTCAGAATACGAAATTGAGTTAGACAGGACTTGGACGCGACCTCGCGTTTAAGTCTTATCTAAGTAAGACACGACTTCAGAATACGGGCCACTGTATTTTACACATTATCTGAACAAGCCTTTGTACGAGTTAGTTTTAATATTTGAGTTTCTAACGATAACAAATCTCATTTTGTTCAACGTTCGTGAAATCATTCGTAAGATCGCTAAGGCTACCAAAATATTTTGTCTACAGACCGTTTTTATTCATTTCAACCTGAAAGTTACTGACCAGTGTATTTACTGTATGGAGAGTCATGTTTGCGAGTTTCCGATCACCTAATTTGATGACCACCGCCCAGGAACGCTTTACCTTTGTCTAGAGGTTTGACATAAGAACTCTTACAACAACATTAATGCAATATACTAAAGAGAGCGACTGGACGTATTTGCCAAAATATTGAGAAGTAAAGAAGAGAAATCATGGTGATAAGCGTGTAGAATGAACCACAATTAAAAAGGGAACCTTCACTTAACAGATTATGAAACATGACAAAGGTATATGCACATAGGGATGGGGTTGTAAAGCAGATAACAATGAAGGGTGAAATAGAAATGGCGGTTAAAAAAGTTCAGGTAATTAGACAGTGAAGAACGTCCAAGGTGGAGTGGTCATGGTCCTATAACGATGAAACAAATTGGTTGAAATATTTGAGAACTCGCAAACGTGACTCTTATCATGGTTTTCTGTTTAGTACTGTATGTATGCATCACCTGTGGTAACACTGGATACTGACTAGTGTATTGTACAATTAAAATATTTTATCTATTATTTTTGCAGACTGTGAAAACGCTTCCGCCGGTTGTAAAACAGGTATGTTTCTTTTAAACCTAAGTTAAACAAGGGATAGTGATTGTCCGACCTATTTTTAGCCGTGATGTTACACTTAATATAGCCCAAAAATAATCTCTTCGTGTCGCGTAGTATTTATCGTGGGATACATATACCATATGCTTCCATATTAGTTAACGGTTGAAAACTAAAACTATTATATCTATCTCACTATCTGACCAACTGTCTATATGTCCCATTTGTGTCACATAGCTTAGACGCCGGTGGGGCGATAATTTAATATATAGAAATGGATCTTGAGACACAGGTTCTCTATAATTTTCTGTCTTCAGCTGCTCTAGTTAGCTGCTGAAACGACATTCCCTTCATTTGCGTTCTGAGCTAATGAAGATCATAAATGGCTATCCCTGCAAAGCATTCTGTTGCAGAAAACAATTCTTTTGTCAGTTGGTGCATATAGATTTGTGCCTATACAGTGTGAGTCAAAAAAAGTTTACACCTAGAAAATTGCTTCTTTTGTATTCGCATTTGTATGTAAGGCGCCATGAGAGTCATGCCTGACCACCTGTTGAATAAGAAACCAACATTATTATCATTTTTATTATACCCGACAATAATTTTTCACTGTGATTGATTTTCTTTTTAGGTAGGATTAAGTGGCTCAATGAGGTTTAGAACGAAGGCATGCAACGCCAGTTAGGATTAAATAATGTCAAAACATTCCTGCATGGTATTGGTAAAGCTTTTATTATTAGCATACATGTGCATTGTCCGTAAAGGCAACAAAATAAAAAGCTTCCCAATAGAGTGGAGAGTGTGCACTGTGCAGCGTGAGTCCAAAAAAAGTTTACACCTAGAAAATTGCTAATTATTTTAAAAATCATCTATGAACAGTAAATTATTATACATCTAATGAAAGAGTGTTTTATCCCAAATCATTTGGTATCATATTCGTGTGGTATGTGTTCACGCTTGGATAAACAGGAGACATGACAATCACTCTCGCCATCGCCCTGCCCATCGCCTTTCTACTTCTTGTTGCCATTTGTCTTCTTGCGTTCGTCTACCATCGCTATGGAATGGTACGCGGTCGGAAAGGACGTGCTATTACGCCTGAGCCCTTGGTGCAGGTAAATCTTCAGAAGCGCTTTCAGGATTTACACAAGCAGGGGAAAAAAAAGGATTACACCCTTACAAAAAAGTACCATGGTAACCATGGTAATCATGGTACCAAACAATGAAATACATTGTTTGATGACCCTATGTTTATCATTGTTTGACAAAAAGCCATGGTTATCATGTTTTTTTTTATAAGGGCAATACGGGAGCGTGTGGGGCACGATTTATCGTTATAGTGAGCGTTTTCGTTATGGATGAAACCTATGACCAGACCTTGAAAGTAAAATTGCTTAATCAAATTGATGTCTGTTCTAGTTTCTAGGCATGCTACCTAAATTCCTAAAACTATTGCTATATGATTTGATTTGATAATTTGGGATTAATATTTTTTTAAAGTGCAAACAAGACCAACTCGTCTGTTTGGAGCCAGCAGGGCCTTAATAACCCATATACTTTAACACAGAAATAACGCCCTTCTGGCTCTAGACGAACTCAAACTCGTTCACTACTCACAAGTATTCAAAGCTGGTGATATTTTGATTAGAAAGTAGAAGAGCCTGCATGGTGGAGATTTCCACAGGGGCGCATGTTGTACCCACTGCATCAACTAATGTACGCGAACATTACAAAATGTATTACAAGATCCGGACGTCGTTTCCAAGGGATATACAAAAGGGTATTGAAATTGCCTTTAAGGTGATTCCTTGACAAACATTGTATACAGTTTTTGGCACAACACCCATGTTTTATACCATGCATTCGACATTCACAGTGTGATTAGTTGATATGCTTCTAAAGGCTCGTTCTGATTTGACGTATAACCACCTTTAAAAAAAAAACGCCCGTTTTTTATTTAGTTTTTTCTTCTTCTTCAAACGTGTAAATGAAGGCAAATGTACACAACCTAGGTAGTACGTGTATTCGCTGAGCTACGTCTTATAAGATACAGATATGTAAAGTTCATATGTACTTTATGTCATGATATTATAAAACCACCATTCTTTATCCATCTGACTTATCAGGAAGGCACTTCAGGAGCAGGACTACAGCGGAGCAGCAGTGTCGGCCACCAGCCTTCAGGTGACATCAACCCTCCATTGGTGAACGAGTTCAGCGATGGGCTAGAGATGGACTCTAAATTGAATAGTGATGAGGTGGATCGCCATGATGCCGAAGTCAAGGGCCTGCCCTATCGGCAGACAGTAGATGAACATCGAGCATCCAGTGGTAACCGGGCAAAAGAGTCCGACTTAAATGAGGTCCCCCAAAAGGAATTGCGAGTATAAAGTCTACCATGGATCTCTTGACACCTAATTCTAAACGATTCTGTAAACCAGACATGGAGATCTTGCAATTTTTTATATTTGGGGTTGAGGGGGGGGGGGGGGGAAGTGACCTTTACATTCACTCAGTAGCTTATTCAGGGTAGAATTGGGCTAGCAAGAGCCCACCCCCCCCTCTTAAGCTGTTTAGGTTCTTTGACACACAAAGGAATACTTCTTCTTGCCGTCAGGCCTATGTCTTCCTCATGTTGGGTTTCCATTCTATTCCACATTTCTCTCTGGTTGGGATGCCCCCACCATTACTGGATACGCCAATGTGCTTATCTATCCTTATGCTGTCACTTCGCTCTGTGTGACTTTTGCTAATTATACGGGTTTTTTTTTTGTATCGCTTACTGTTCACGGTATAAATATAAGCTTTATAATCAACCTTTCTACCCTTTGTATGTTGAACTAACATTAAGTTGAATTTGTTAATACGGGGTGTTTAAAAAGAAAACGCAGCAATATTTTGATTGGTAACATGTGGCTGTGTCTCTTAAGTACGTAGGCTTTAGTGCGCAGACACTGATACGCACGAGGGTTTGTGCTTGCACACTAAATGAAAGGCGGGATTAAAGCCCGTGGTTCGATTTGTTACATCACTGGATGCAGCTGATTCGAGATTATTTACACAATGAATTATTATTTACGATAACATGATATCAAGGATTATGTGTAGTATTGTAGGAAAAAGCTGTAACTTTAATGTCACTAATGGCGCCGGCTCCTACCTTCTATTCTTTCATGTTAATGGGACCCATTTACAAGCTTTGCTTTTTAGGGGTCCGTACCAGTACCAGTGTGATGGTAAATTGTTTTTAATGATTGGCTGAATAAATTGAAGTGAAATTTACAATGTGTGACCAAAACATATTTAAATATATTCTTGTGAATTTGGATGAATTAAATAATTGAATTGAATTGAATCTAGTGCTCACAATGTCCCGGTAAGCGCGTTTCCGTTTTACACCCTGCCCTAGGCTTTTCGGCAAGAAATTACACGAAACATGCTGTATCCGAAGTCTAAGTTTGTTTATATCGACGTCAAGAATAGCGAAGCCAAAGCTTATGTACAATTTCAATTGGGGATGCGAGGGTCTTTCTTGTTCAAGAGACGGTTTTCCCGATATATTATTGTTTTGTTATCGCTGGGCTAAATTTTGCGAGCTGATCACGCATCCTCACGCTCTTAGAGTATTGCGTATTAATGGATAAAAATAAATGATACGACTAGGAAGATCAACTAGTATAGAGAGTTAGCTAGCGCTACGTGACGTTTTCAGAGTTCTGGTGGTGTGCAGAGCGCCGAGGCAAGATGTGGACGACTAGACTCCGAATACCAGTCGGTTTGTAAAATTTTATTGGAGAAAAGCCTAGGGCAGGGTGTAAAACGGAAACGCGCTTCCCGGCGTGTCGACAGCCGTGTCCCACAATGCATCACCAACTGCATGACGCGTGCATGATGATACTTGGGTACAGGAACCGGAAGTCGCTCTATGTACGCAATTTAAAATACATTACAGCAGTGGTAGCAGTATCAGTGAATCATCCTGCCTTTGAAAAGGGATTTGTTTAAGTTTTTTAGGTTTCTACTGGTCTCAAATTTAATGGAGGCATATCTTAGCCAAACTTGACTTTTCTACTTTAGGATCGGCGCGCTACCCTGAAATCCCACGTGTCGCATATAACCCGTTCGACTTTACTTCTGGAAGCGTGTGAACATTACAATGACGTATTGCGTAATTTGGAAATAATTAACGTGTACATAGGCAATACTACCATGGTGTATTGAAAATGCTCTTAAACTGATTTATTGAAATAATGTTAGCAGTTAGGGTATTCGTTGTTATTATTATTGATGTTGTCATTATTATAATTATTTCAAATATCAATATTATCATCATCAAAATCAATGTTATCATCGTATATTGTTTATTCAGTACTACTTTAATATTATATTCATATTAAGGTGTGATTGTTATAAATGGGGCGTGTACTTCGTTTCTGTATTAAAATATATTGAAATGAAAAAGATTCTAGTAATATTATTTTCATAATTTCACTTAGTTATGAACCTAAACGATAGATTAGTAAGAAATATTACTCGGTCATGATACAACATTGTATCCTACGCCAGGGGCGTACGCAGGATTTTTTCAAGGGGGGGGGGGGGGGGGGGTTTAAAATATTTTGCTCCCGAAAATTTGAAAATCGCGCCGGCCGAAAAGTCGCTCAGTGGGGGGGGGGGGGGGGGGGGGGGGGTAAGCGGACACTTTTTTTTTTTTTTTGAGGTAAAAAAAAAATTGCAACGACTCAGCCAGCCTTAAAGTAGCTCAGTGGGGGGGGGGGGGGGGGGGGGGGGGGGTAAGCGGACACTTTTGTTTTTCTTTTGGTCTCGAAATTTCAAAATTTGGCATTTTTTTTCGTTGGGGGGGGGGGGGTAAGGTCGTGGGTATAATTTTTTTAAATTTTTTTTTATTTATTTTTTTATAAAAAACACAAAAAAAAACAAAGGGGGGGGGGTTTAGGTTTTTTTAGGGGGGTTTACATACATAAAAATACCAAAGGGGGGGGGGGTTTGAACCCCCAAAACCCTCCCCCTGCGTACGCCCCTGTCCTAAGCTACCAATTGCAAAATAAAAAATTAAAAAAAATCAATATCCCTGTGCCTTACTTTTCAAAATGTGCAAACATTATAATAACGTGCACTGCCTTATATATTGGGTCTTTTTATATTTACACAGAGCTGAAATAAAATAACTGTGTCTTTAAATGAAGTCATAATGTGGAGAATTACGTCTTTAAAAATTGAAAACGACATTCATTTTCATTGCCTTTTGTGGGCAGTGAATTTTTGAGTAGGTTACCTATTAAGTTAAATAAGTTTTGGGAGTTCATTTACATTTGTTGATCAAATCATGAATGAAACTCTTTGTAAATAGTGTGTATATATACAAGAATCATATTTCATTTTTTATAAGGTTGTATATTGTTAGACATTGTTAAGTATTTTTTAAAGCCCCACTGCACTTCTTATAGCTACTGCGCCCTCTATATAGCAATCAATTCCTAATCGGTGACCATTGGATCCCAATGATCCCCTTTTTTATGTTACTTGAGAGCTGATTTAATGATAACCACCTGTCAGTGATCATGCAGGGAGGTCTAATCTCTCCTGGCCAAACTAGTGCAGTGGGGCCTTAAAGTATCGATTGTAATAGTAATTTCATTATTTTGTTTTGTTTTGTTTTCTGAAATTCACTTGTAACCAAATACTTTGTGTAGCTGTAAGGGCCGTAGTGGTTAGGCTTGACTAGCACAATCATGTGCTTTAATCTGGCCCCTTTTACAAACAAAAAATGGTTTCTCTTCGTGTGTATGTAAATATCATTGAATAAGATGTTGAGCTGAATTGTTGTTGGTAAATAAAATCAAACCAAACAAAAATATAGCCATCATGTCAGAAAGAAAACATTGCTTTTGAATGCATTGTGATTTTAGTCTATAATATAATTGACAATAACATTCAGAATGTAACAAAATGTAATTAATGCAGTCATGATTAACAACATGTAATCATGTAATTACGTACGTTCATCACGTGGTCATGATTAACATGTTTACATGTAATCATGTTAATCATGATTATTTATCAAATCGTATGCAATATGTTGTGGTCAACGGTGTCAAATCAGATTTAAGTCGTGTATTATACGGAGTTCCGCAAGGGTCTGTTCTCGGCCCGTTATTATTTTTGTTATATATTAATGATTTTATAAATTTTTCTTCAATTCTTAATTTCATACTTTTTGCGGATGACACCAGTATTACTCTTTCTAACTCAAAAATCAGCACATTAATTCACCTGTTAAATAAGGAACTCCACAATGTTGTTACCTGGTTGCAATGCAATAAATTGTCTTTAAATTCTGAAAAAACTAAATATGTTCTCTTTAAAACAAAAAAATAAAAAAGCTGGTAATGATATCCCACAAGTCACTATGAATGGCAAGATTATTACCCAAGTATCAAATATTACATTTTTAGGTATCAAAGTAAACGAATTATTATCTTGGAAACCACATATTGATGATCTATGCACTCGCCTATGTAGAACAACTGGTGTCCGCAGACTTAAATTTAGTATGATTTCATTATATAACAAATTGATTTTGCCTCATCTCACTTACTGTTGTATGATTTGGGGGAAGACATTTAAAACACACTTGAATAGACTTTTTATTACTCAGAAAAAAGCAATAAGAACAGTTTGTAATGTACCATTTAATAACCATACAAGCAATTTATTTGTTGAATGTAAAACATTAAAGGTCTCTGACCTTGTACTTATGTATACTTATATCTTTATGTATCATTATCATACGAATGCCTTGCTAGATATTTTCAATGATTTTTTTTAGCACAAATGCCTCCTATCACTCATATTTCACCCGTCAATACGCAGATCTCCATCAATTTCTTCCCAAAACTACAATTCGTCGCTGTTTTCACGAAGTGACGGTAGTGAAAAAAAATTGCATTCACTTTGCGTTACGATTTTCCTCACTACCGTCACTTCGTGAAAACAAGGACGAATTAGTCAAAATTCCTTACGTTGTAATGGAATTAAGTTATGGAATGACCTAGACAATGATATTAAACTAAGTAAAACTCTTGATAAATTAAAAAAACTCTTGAAAAATAAAATGTTCTTGCAGTACAAAAACCACGCTCAATTAAATAATGAATAACTTGCTCCACTTGTTCTTTTTTTACATTTTTATATTTGGTATATAAATGTTTTGTAATACTGCAAAGCGCCAGCGGGGGGCGCATATAGTGACGCAGTGTCGCTTGACGTCGTGTCCTGTAAGTGTCCTATGCTGGTGCTTTGCTGTAAATGTCTTATCCTCAAATAAGTCTATATAATCTTTTTTCTTGTATATATTTGTTTTCCCGTTAATGTTGTTTTTGTTAATTTTCTCGATAAATGTGTCATGGTTGGTGCCCCAATCACAAGTTTGTTTTCAA